CACACAGCCGGTCAGCTTCTGCCCCTGCCCGCAGCTTCCCGTGGCACTCCCCAGTGCCAGCTTTCTGTCTGCTCTCCAAAACTTCTGGGTACCAGCGAAAGTGCCAAGAACTGCCGAGTTGCTCTCAGGAAGACGGTGCCCACCCCAAAGAAAACGAGAGTCAGCTTCTCCTAAGATACCTAAGGCTGGCGGATCTCAGAACAAGTTTGCCACGTTCCTGAAACAAGGCCTACGATACAAGTCAAGGCAATAGTGGTGTCAGCTATGTGCCTTATTACTGGGAGAACAGGAACGCCTTGGTTGTGTTAACCGTGGCGCACGACTTGACGGGGCGGCCACGCAGCGTGTGAATCGTAAGGAATCCGGCTCCGGGGCTGGGCCGTACAGACCGTGCCTGCGGAGGGAGAGCCAAGCAATCACTCACCGGGAAATTCCCTGCCAAGCCTCGCACTCACTGTCGCAAGCAAAAGCGAAGTCCCAGCTCCCTCTGCCGGGCATGGCGCAGGGAGCACTGGGAGACGTGGGCAGACGCGGCGGCAGCACAAGCTGCTTCCCAGCACCCAGGCAGCAAAGGAGCAGGACAGGGACGAGAGAAGAGCAAGCTCTGCCCGCCTGCTCAAGCACAGGGACAGACAGGGCTCACAGAGAGATGGAAAACACAGGCACGTCCCGCTCGGTGGGGCTCTGCAGGGACTGGCAGCTCTCCTGGCTTCCAGGGCACACCTGCACAACACGGTGCAGAACAAGCTGGGAGCAAACCGGTGTGTGGGCTGGAGCCCTGGAAGCAGAAGAGCTGCTACCACAGCCTTGCACCTAAGCGAACAAACGCAGGCGCAGCCCAGCGCTGCGGAAGCTGCCCTGGATCCAGGGATGGCAAGGCTGCAGGGAGCTGGCAGGGGCTCTTGGCGCACCACTGCTTAGCACCCGTGGCCTGGGTCCCTGCTGGAGCGAGGCTCACGTAATGCACAGCACTAACCCTCGTCTGTTTTACCTTGTCCGCGCTCCAGGGGGACAGGCCCTCCGCCCGGCATCCCAACCTGCGGCTGCATCCCACCTGAGAGGGAACAGGCAGAGATCAGATCCCTCCCCAGCCATCCCTGCACCACTAACAGATTCCTTTGGCCTCAAATACCTCCCCTCTCCCAGCTCCTGGGGGAGCATCCAAAGGTTTATTTTCTTGGTGTTGGTTCCCCACAGAGATAAGCCAACTTTCTGAACCACCACTGGCAGCAGCCACAACCACGGCACACAGTATGGGACTATGTGTGCTCTCACGGAGCAAAGCCCTCCGGTTAAGGGGAAGGTAGAGGGGGGCTGCCTGCAGGACCCATGTGCTCAGGGCACCGTTCAGCCAAAACCCACGCACTCACCTCCTGGAGCCATGGGGCCAGGGCCCGGGCCCTGCACAGGGGCTGCCATCTGTCCGGGGGCTGGCACTCCTCCCTGCATGGGCGGCTGCATCAGAGGAGGAGCGCCGTTTACGTGCATCCCACCCTACCCAGGAGAGAAACCGGACCTCAGGGAAGCCCCGTCACCCAGGCACGGACGCCCCAGCTGGGAGAGCTGGAGCTGGCAATGCTCATCTCTCCCCCACAGGGCACCTGCGTCACGTAGGCTCTTACTATGGGCTGTGGCTGGGACGAGGGGGTATTCTGCGGATTCAGCTGGGCGTTTGGCCCTGGCCCAGGCCCCGGTCCTGGTCCAGGCCCCGGCCCTGGCACTGGCTGCTGGTTGCCTGGGATCAGAGGAGGAACACTGGTCTGGCGATGCAGGATTTTCTAGGGGCAGAAGAAGCAGAAAGGTGTTCTCTTCCACCCCCCTCCACAACAGGCTGCCATTGATATCCTATCGACCCCGGACAAAGCAGCAAGGGACAAACCAGTGCGATCTCTGGGTCGACGATCCTCATGACCACCTGGGCCTGCAGCAGGGCATAAGCCAGCTGGGGGTTCTGGAGCAGCATGTTCCTGGCTTCCTGGGGGCTGTTCTGGACACACAACTGGGAAGACACATGCAGATCAGAGCTCTGGCAAGGCACGACAGCGGCTGCCAGGGCACGGGCAGCGGTGGTAGAAGCTGTGCTCACGCAGAGAGTGCAGCCCTCCGCTTCACTCACCTTCATCTGCTTCATCAGCTCAAACATCTGCTCGGGCGGCAGGCTGGCTACTGCCCGGCTGATGGACTCGGGGGCATCTTCAGGATTGACAGGGTCCCCGTAGGGTGACTCTATGATGGGTGCGCCTGTGCCCAAGCCTGCAACAGAGTTTGTGACCTCGTACGCTAACGTGAACTGGCGGTTTTTAACGGGCTCATCAGAAGGGGAGCGCCATGCCATTACGGGGAAAGGGAGGCAGTGAAAACAGGGAGATCATCTGGGAGAGAAAACAGAGAGCTGAGCCCACGCACCCCTCTGCAAAACTACCTGCTACACCGCTTGGAACAGGTCAGCTCCGCGAGGTCTCCACCTCGCCAGCCTCGCAGAAGAGGCACGTTTTGTAATGCTGAAAAGGCCAGGCCCAGCACGACACCAGTGCGTTCTCCACCACAAAATTCAGACTCACTCTTCAGCTCCTCCTTGTTCTTCTCGCTGGCCGCGTTGTCGACGCGCAGGGCCCTCCCGCTGAACTCTCGCCCGTTCAGGTTCCGCATGGCACTGAGGGCCGTCTCCTGGTCTTGGTACTCACAGAAGCCATAGCCCTTCGGCTTTCCCGTCTCCCTGTCATACACCAGCCTGCATAGCGAGGAGGAGAGAACCACCACCACTGAGGGCAGCGCAGGCACCGCGCAGCGCCCACAGCTCCCCAACACTCGGGAGGCTGCTATTGAGGTACACCACACAGGAACACTGGGGAGCAGAGTGAAAGCACCGGGGTCAGGTCAAGGCACGCAACAGTTGGCCCTAAGCGAGAGCCAAAAGGCCTCCCAGATCCAGGCCGATGGGTGTTCCCAGAGCTCTGGTGTCCGGGAAAACCACCAGCACAAGCGCTGTGCTTCCCATGACCCCATAAAGGCAGCTCCTGGGGACACTGGACTGGACTGGACTGGCTGCTCCTGGAGCTCCCAAGCCCTTAACTGAGAGCTCTCTGAAGCCTGGTGCCAAGCCAAGAAAAGCCATCCCTGCAGAGGCACTGGGATGGGAGTGCTCTGCGCTCCCGGCTCTCTGCACAGAGCCGGATCAGGACCCGAGGACTTATCTACCTTAGCTTCACGCCACAGCAGGGCAGCTGCCTCCAGCCTGGAGC